TACCTCAGCATCATTGAAGGTGTACAGATGTAATTATAATAAATATCTCACACAGATCCCTCTTATGTAGATCTCACCCCGGTTAATCGCGAGGCGACGTGGCGCTTCCTCAGGTGGCGGATAGGGAATAATCGCGGGCTAAAAGCAGTCCTTGCTTCCCTCAGACGCAGTTGGATCCCCGGGATGGACTTGCTGCTTCCGCTGCGCCGTTTTTGCACTGCCCTTCTGTACTTACGAGGTCGTATTCATGCATACGTGCTTAAGCGTGTTCTCGTTTATGCGGATTGTATTCTATGAGGCAATTTGGCCAAAACCCTGCAATAACGTGACAGGGAAGTGTATGGCAGGCGAGTAGGAATCACCTTCAACACTAGTCTACTCTGCAAAATAACCGTGAGTATGTGCAGCTTTCGCGTTCAGAACACAGCAAGCTATTACATATTTGGGTATCAAACGCTAAACACACTAAAATAGAGGTACGCCTGACTCCGCTGAGCCCAAAAGAGCCTGTGATACGGCATCGTTGGGTAGGACGAAGATGGAGAGACTGCTAAAATCTAACGCTATTCTAGGCTGCCTAAATCGTAAGGTATTAAGATGGCGTAACTAAACTGCACGCCCACTTGAATCTGAGTCCTTCTTAGAGTAATTAATTGGGCTGGCCAGAAGAATAGGGGACGAAGTCATTGGACTGGCTGAGACGACAAGACGTCAGTAGAGGAGTCGTCGGCGTCGGCATTCTCGTCAACACGAGTTTAGCCATGGGTATCGGTTCATTCGAACAACCCAATTCGAAAGTTTGCGGTTGAAGAGATGTGGACTGATAACGATATAAATAACATAATAGTAAGTCAAAGGTTTTGCCTAACCTATGTTACTTTTGCCCTAAATTCTGCACAGGATCAGACCATCGCTTCCTTCGTGCAAGATTTCATTCCTTGCAGGAAGTAGAAAAATCCTAATTCAAAGAAAAGCAAAGTCCTAGAACCACCATAAGTTGGAACTTATTTGGTTCACTAGTCGGCTCTTGGAAAGATGTCGTTCTTTAACATCGACGAGGAATACAATCGGTTAATTAAATACCTTCATGTCAGCTTTATGGAAGCTGAGAGTTTAAAAATCACTAAGAGATGTCTGCTTTTCATAAACATACCAGCCGATATGCCACCTTGGAATCACACGAGCTAAAGGCAAACGCCAACTCACGTCCGTACTTGTAATATAATGCAGACAAGAGATAAAAGATTTTAAAGGGAGAAGAGCAGCAGTTACGGCCAAGCTACTGAGGCTGGGAAAAGCATTTGCAAAGCCTATCGAGACTTCGCCAGTTACAAAACTAAGATAATTGCACTCCAACGCCCAGGTGAAACAGTTACAGATCCCATAAAGGCTATGGAGAAAACCACTCACGATTACTGCTCAGATCTCCACAATCGTTCTTCTTCCCTCATATGAAATAAGGGATGATATATATGTCGTACCACCGGTTTTCCTTTCCGAAATCCGATATGCTATTTCGTCGATGAAAAATCGAACAGCACTAAGATAAGATCTAAGCCCGAAGACTAAGACCCGAAGAACCTTCCGCCAATTCTCGAAATAAACACATTGGTTCGGCTCTTCATACGTTACCTATTCGACACCACAATACGTCCTGCCTTAACGTATACGTCAGAAACACGGTCATTGCGTAAGCAGGATGAAACATCACAGCGTTATTCAACGTGCATTCGAAAGGACGACGCTAGATGCGGTCCGGTGCCACACAAGTGAGCGAAGGGATCCGAAGCTCCGACTTGCGTTAACGATTAAAAATCAAGGACGCCGTTCTATAAGCCAAAGTGTGGAAAGTAAAATGGACTTAACACATCATGCATATGAACGAAAACTGATGGACAAGTGCCTGTAGTGACTGGATTCCTCGTGGTGTTACACGTACTGCAAGAGTGCTACCGATCCGATCATCAGCGTTCATCACGAAAATCCAAGAAGAACGACATAGTACTCAACGAGTCCCCAGAACGAGCAGAACCACTGGGCTACTTTTACACGCGATAAAGAGAAATGGAAGATTTACTACCGCCCGCTCGAGTCACTAACTATCAACAGGACGACAGGTGATACATGTGATACCAAAATTGAACAAAAGAACAATTCTTCTCAATCATAAATCACCTGGGTGTAATGGATTCTAAAACGAGAAGGATTCCTTGATAAAACAAAACAAAAGTAAATAATGTTCAATAAAGCGGCGTTAAAGATAAAGGATAAAGCCCTCGGCGTTGATCTGTCCCTGAGGGATGCGCCATTCATTTGACTTTATTAAGTATCGTTGGAGGTGATTGAATGCATATCTGGCCTTTACAATGACTCACGGTGGCCTACCAATGTATCGAGCCAGTGCTGCTGTTCTCGCGGACAAGTCTGGTACCAATTTGGCGACCCCGGAAAGATGGAAGGCTTGGTGAGCCACGGGCTTGGAGATTGATCCTGAGTGTGTTGCAGGGCGCCTCCGACCACTGCGCCACACACGTCCATGATATTGAAGATAACAAGATAAATAGGAAAATATGGATACCTACCTCGATTTCTTCAATCTTATTCATGACAGCTCTAGCGACTAGATTGTGATGAATCCTATCAGACTTTTTAAAATCAGCAACAAGACGTTTTCCTAAAGAAACCACACTATTAAGTGAGTTATCCAATTCGGGAAAATGTAATTCCGGAATGGAAGACTTTTAGAGAAAAATTTATTTTTCAGATATGTGTTACCTACAGGTTACCTGCAAGGATCGAAGCATCATCGGATGACAATTGAAGACGTCCGTCTGATTGTACCAAATCTTGTGACAAACTGTTTAATTCAGACATTGTACCTTCGATTTTCTTAATAAGACTTGTTTCGAAGAATCATTTATGAATGGGGAATAACATTTTAACATTTTTACACCGCCGATCCCAAAGGAATTTTGTAATGTAATGTCGAGTTTCGGCATCTTCATTATAATTATTCAAATCAATACGTTTGAAGGAATCCAGTATTTCAAGCCAGAATCTCATTTAGGAGCAAACCAACGTGATGAATTCTCGCTTCAGAAACCCTGGTTCTCAAGGCGAGAAGCTGGTACTTGATTCAGATAACTAACCGATGGCTTGTGGTGACAATATGGAAACGCTTGTGGTACAGCTACCTTGATATAGTAAGGAAACAAACGGTCACAATCATCGAAATGCAAATGAAATACCAATGCATTAGAGAATGTGATGAGAACCTTACAAATCTTCGCGAAGATTGGTCATTAAAATGTAAGGTCTATTCCGTAATATTCAACAACGAAATTAGATAACTCTCAACGGTTTATCGCCTCATCGTGGATGGAAGATGTTCTTGGGTGTCGCACTGCGATGTACAGCGAGAGAATTCGTACCCCCGGCAGGGTCTCCCAAGTTGAGAGGGAGTCCGGCGTTTCCATCAGGAAGCCTAGCTAAAAGTAAACCAATACCAGGATCCACCACCGTCCTGGTATCAAAGCCACATGGTGGCAAATCACCCTCTAATCCAAAAAGGCGGCGACTGCCTGTGGTTATGACGACCTGGGGCAGAATTTGGCCAGCCTGTCCTCGGGATTCTAGGGAACCACAATGGCTTAACCAACACATCTCCGAAAAATAGTGAGTATGTTGGGGCCCGCACAACTAGTGAGGACGGGCCGTTCAAGTATCAAGAGAACGTTAGTTAGAAATGAGATCAATCTCAAGATTTTTGCTGCTCATTTCGAGATCCGGGCCTTGTTTGAAACATTGTAACTGTTGAAATGTCTCTTAGCCTAAGAACACAAACGAATATCGGTTCGCTATTTCGAAATCAGATTACTACCAATATATTAAACGATGGCGCGCTCGATGTTGATCAATTCCTCAGATGCACAAAATACATTCGACACCACTGGCGGCATCGTGAAGGTGACTCAATGCACACCTAGCCTTTACAACTTACGTTACGGATGCATCAAGATGGTGTTTTTATCCTCCTAGATAACTCTGGTATCTACCCCGGTTGCCAGTCCAAGAGAAATAGACTTCATGATTAGCCCAGGTGCGAGATCGCACCAATAACCATGTTTGTATTGCAGGGCATTTCTGCGTTACGCGCACTTGTCACAACAACATTTTTTTGAATTACTCGACATCAAATGTTGTGCGGATCTCAGCATCTTGCCGTAACGTTTTCTTTTGCCATCATCCATGAAGGCCTTCCTTAAGATTTGTACGTGGGTCCGGCTGTTGCTTGACGATTTTTGTCTTATTTTTCGGTCGAGATGATTATTCCTGCAATCCTACGGTAGCCATGCTACACCACGCCCACGCAGAATGAAAGTGATCTCACGCAAATCCGATACCTACTTGCCGTCTTCGGAGGGATCTGATGCATAGCAGGCTGGGAACAGTGTCGCACCAGCGTGTTGCTTGTAATGGGCAATATTACTATCATTGAATTACCCTCTCCTAAGACGGTTCTAGATCTTCGGAATGTTTCGATAAATACGTATGAAATAAACCACACCTCTCGTTCATCACACCATTGTTCGGCATCATAGCTAAAAGTTCCACCAAATAACTCAGGTAACTGTGAAATATCAATGTATTTGGACAGCTTGTGCAAGGAGACGAGATATGTCTGAAAGTAAATGAACATCAACGGCAGGAATACGAAACACAGAACATAGTTATTAATCGACGATTTGATTAACGGTCAATGATTTATATGCCCAAGTATAAAACACCTAACAATGAATATTCGCTCTCTACATTTCTTCAGTTTGAATACAATATCACACAAAACCGATGTTCATTACAGTATCCAGTGCTTAGGAGTCGTAGGATGCAGTCAAAAGCAGGCGTATTGATCTAGTCGTCGCGTCAATCAATACGCTCAGCAATCGCGTCAACACTTTTGATCGCATGTGATTCGTTCTAGAATGAACAATGAAAACCTGTTATAATTGAACTATAGCACTTACTCGAAATTCATAGCCTTCTACAATGAGATCGAAATTGATTTTCTGTTGATGAAGAAATTTATCCGGTTGGACGATGATCGCTAAGCGAATACGATGATAGAATGCTTGCTGAAAGTCATTCATTACGCTCAATTACATCAACAAATCAACTGTTAAAGGAAAATCAACACTACTGATAAAAATGAATGAGTACAGCAAAAAGACTTTTTTCGCTTTGCTGTCATGCAATAGTAGACTATGAACTGCTGAAATAACTATTGCACTTGTTAAACGATATAAGCAATGCATTAACTAACCAACTAATGAAAATTAAAAGTGACGACAATAAAAAAACAAAAGCAAAAAGATAAGTTGTCATATGCCGCTGGTTGCAACACAATCGTATGGAAGTCTTTGGTTCTCTTAACAACTGACCCCCTCCCCCTCTTCCTCCTCCTCTATAAAGTTCTGAAAGAACTCCTCCGGTTCTCGCCGATTAAAGAATAATCTTGAGCATCGAAGTCGGTATACATTGCACGTTCATCCTTCTCCCACTCCCAGAGTTTCATAACATAAAAAGGTATTCCACGTTACCACGAAGACATTTCCAAGAATTGCAATCGTGTTGAAAAAACTTAGAAACGTAACAACAATGAGGATAACAAACCATCTTCCTATTCACAAGAGCTGACGTCGATTGTCTATGGGAACGACCTAGGAAGAGGGCCAGAACTAATTTCATCGGATTTCCACGAAACTGTCTATCCCGCCCCATCCAGTAATATACCAGTCAAATGAAACATGTGCTTGATCTTTAGTGGCCCTTCGTGAAAGCGAACTACTAGAGTATTTAAGCATTTGAAAAGTAGTAATAGTAAAAGTAAGTAAGGTTAACAGACCTGACATGCTCTTAGCACGTTTTTCAGCGTTTTTGGAGATATTTTCCGGCCATCAATAAGCACACAAAGGCCTTTCTCGGCAGCATAGTCGCCGATAATCTCCGAAAAATAACCAAGTACAGAAACTAGATTTTCGTACTGTAGCAGAACACTATCGGTGTCGGGCAACGAGGTCTCTAGAAAAACTCCTTGAAGCAAAATCTGGAAAATTTTCTTAAAAAAAATAGACTTTCAGTACACGCACTGTGAGAAGCGTTAACAGTACCAGTTGCTGTTGGAATAATGGCGACAATGGGACTACCTCTACGATCGACTGACCCTGAAAGGAAGAAAAAACTGAGCATAGGAGAAACAAATAACATGAAAATCATAAGACCAAACAAAGAAATACTTCATTTATAGAAATTCTAAATACTCTCAACTCTTTTATTTACTGCCTTTTTCTTCTTAATGGCAGGTTATGTTTCGAATTATAACTCGTATGAAATGCTGAGATATTTGCAAAACTCCGGACCACAGGTGTATGCAGCGGAGAATGAACACACGCTGTTGTCCTCACCGGGGAGCAGCGCACTTCACCACTACACCATCCGGGTCCTTCGCTTTGCATGTCTCTCAGCTAGTTCTATCGATCTTTTTGCCATCAGCAATCATCCGTCAACCGGATTGATCTGGGGAGCCAATATCGGCATTGAACCCAGCTGAGGCTTAGTTATAATCACAATCTTAACCCTTTTATTTACTGCCTTTTTCTTCTTAATGGCAGGTTATGTTTCGAATTATAACTCGTATGAAATGCTGAGATATTTGCAAAACTCCGGACCGATATTGGCTCCCCAGATCAATCCCGTTGACAGGTGATTGCTGATGGCAAAAAGATCGATAGAACTAGCTGAGAGACAAGCAAAGCGAAGGACCCGGATGGTGTAGTGGTGAAGTGCGCTGCTCCCCGGTAAGGACAACAGCGCGTGTTCATTCTCCATTGCATACACCTATGGTCCGGAGTTTTGCAAATATCTCAGCATTTCATACGAATTCTAAATACTCTTCCTTAAACACTTTAACAGAAAAGGAAGAAATAACAGCACTTTCCTCTATAGCCTTCACACAGTTTTCTGTAAAATTTCGTATTAAAAGAAATAATATCATTGTTGGAGCGGATATCACTGCTGTAGTGAAACATGGTGCTAGTTTGATTCCGCTCCGAGCCAACCAAGCCTCTCATCTCTCCGGGGTCGCAAAATTGGTAGCGGACTTGTTTAGAAGAAAATCACTCTCTGCAATCCGATTGGGAACGCTCCAGCCCGGCAATCCCAGAACTCCAGAGAGAATTGCTCGAGCAGCATTCTACGAAATTCAAGATGAAATGAAAATCCTCAAGCAGCAACCGAAGCTACACGTAAAAGTTGGAAGATCTTCGTGGACAATGAATGCAAGGAAACAAATCGAATGCAAGAAGTGCTGGGATCCGCACAGTAGACGTGAAGATGGACCAAATAAACTAAAATAAAAAATACGATTGTTGAGCTGCAAATATAATAAAAGAAGATAAGAAAATAAAACATTGCAGATGAGGTTAGAAATAGCGTAGACTTTCCCTAGTAACATGATTTACAGTAACTTTCCGTTAGCATCCTTGGTCAGTTCTGGTATCTTTCTAGTGACTCAGAAAGAAAATGATAAACTATTCTTCTTTATACACCACCCGTCGTTACACCTACTATGCAGATCCCAGCATTTCCTGAATTTGATTCGTTTCCTCTCATGTATCATTCACAATGCCCTACGAACATTTCGCGTGTTGTTTCGGCTCCTGCTTGAGGATTTCGTCTTCTTTAGGAATGTCGTAGAATGCTGATAGAATCGATTTCTTGGAGATAGGCTAAGGCGTTCCCATGTGAACTGGGAGAGAGCGTTTGGTGGGGATCGAACTAGCGCCTTTGCTCCCTAATCCACGGCATCACTAACCACTGCGCTATCCCCGCCCTGATGAACTAACGTGATTTATTTGTGGCAAAAATGAGAAGTTCTAAAGCTTAAATAAAAATCTAGGAAACTGGTATGAAAGATAATAAATGCATAAATAACAAACAAAATGGCGGCAATTTACAGAGCGCCGAGAAAAAGAAAAACAAAATAAAGAACATGGGCGTTTTATGTTTCGAAATATCCAGATATGAAGTTTGGACCAGATTTGATTGAAGTATAAACCATTACGAATATAAGTAAGCTATGTGAGAATGTAATGAAAAAAAAACGAAAAAACGAACAACAAAGAAGTAGATGTACCCGGTAAGGAGACAATCTCTCGCAACACCTTTTCACGGTGTTTGGCAATATTCATTGATTTTCCTCGAAGACGATGGATTTGCAACTATTGGAGCGGTGTACTCTTAACTATCTGAATGATTAGAACGATTAAGAGGAAATGAATGACCGTGGAGACACGAGTGATCATTGCGCGGCTTCAATAACGTCTAAAATAAGCGTGGAACCGAAAAATACACGAATATAGAGAAAAAAAAACAAGAAAGAAAACGAACGATGATCATTTATGAGACGGGCTTTGTTCAACTAACGGAAGAAGTATGGTTAAGTGTGGTTGTTATGGTGACGGAAGTGGAAAGAAGGATGTCGTGTGGCTGCCACGACTTCCTTGGTAACAAATAGCGACCAATAAATGAATACTCTAATATTTTTTCTGTGTGTTAAAATTGTATGGAAGCGAACATTTATGGAGCTTAGTAGTTATTTCACCAACCAATTAGCTTGTTTATTCAGACAAAGTACCAACGTGAACGAAACAAGAACGTAGCTGTAGCGACGTTCATGTACAGAATCTGAAAATTTCGCGCAAAAACTATATCTCTCCTGATTTAGTGATTGGAAGGTCTGTCAATAACTTTTTGTGTCATCGTCGATTGTTCTTGGATCTACTAGGAAACACAAATGATTGTTTCACGGGCATCATTACTACACGAGCAGAGCTTGAGAATTGCGTCCGATAGACCAGCTAAAAGTAAATCAATGCCAGGAATCGTTGCTGTTCTCAAAAAACAGGTTGGATGGCGGCAAACTTCTCTCCGATCCTTAAAGGCCAACGACTGACTGCTGTGGTGACGATCTGGGAATGGCCTTCGCAGTAGCACGATTGGAATTATGCCTACTCATGAATGATTCCTCACGAACGCCGTCGAAACGCTGAAGTATGGAAGGATTGAACCGTAATTTAGTACAAATCAACGGTATTTTGTACTGAGTCAGTTCAGTCAGTTACTCGGAATCCTACCGAACATAGATCCTTGTAAAAACGTGGGCCTGTTTTTGATGTTTTCGGTTGTCTTTTATGTGAAATAGCTTCTAAATATTTGCAAACAAATGTTGTTTTTGAAGAAATGTGGAATTCTCTGTACTTATAAGAATCGGAATCTTACATTGCGACGAAGTGTAGTGCATTAATTAACGATTTATGTAAACTTGATCGCAGGCTCGATTCCATCATCCACCATTAAACATTCTGTTAGTCTAGAATTGATCATTTGCTAGCCGAAAAACTAAAGTATGGTGGGCTGAGAAAGAAAACTGGTTTTACTGACTACCGGCTTGTATTCAAGAAAACGTTATAATGGGTAGATTCTTATTTTATGTAATAGGTTAGGCAGAATCTTTTCTACAACGCTATTCTTCTGATCTGACACAGCTTAACTCCAAAGCTTAAAGATGAAACTCATAGAGGTTCGTGGATACTGTGGCTGCTCGAGAAACGAGCAGTGACGGGGATGAAACCACAGTAAAAGAAAGCTGGAGTAGAACCGGTGTAAAAAACCCACAGAGTCTTCTCTTGTTATTCGTACCGTAATCGCTTATTCTAATGCAATTAGATGAAGTGTTGGGATTTCATGTAAAATAATGGAGCTAAATTATTGGGAAATCTCTGGGAAAATTGTCAACTACACAAAAACGAAGTTACAAAAACGAAAAAAAAGTTGATAGTAAAGTGAAAGTGACAAATCCCTGACAATTAACAGTTCTTCTCGGCAAAACTAATACATAACTATTAACAGCATGTGAAACTCGTTTTAGCGTTTGCAACGAACGAAAGACAACGACCTATGCGAACAATAGAAACGAAAGTGATATGAAGACGAGAATATTTACAACGGTAACGTATGTAAGATATGAATGAAGGACGACAGATGAAAAGAGGAATGACAATGGTGTAGTGGAAAACGTCGATACTACGGAATAAACGACTCACAAATTAGATATTTTAGCATTTAGAGACCATGTAATCACCATAAAGACCACTTTTAAGCATTATTCACCCAATAGACGATACAAAAAGGTGGAGTTCAATCCGTGCTGTCATAAAAGTGTCTTTTGTAAAAAGATAAGTAATAAAGTGCTCTCATTTGCTTAGCTTCTATTTGCTGCCTGTTCTTTTTCCATGGCAGAGTATTATGTGAAATACAACCACAAGGATGCTATGAGCTAAATTCGGAACCCTAAATGGGTTTCGAAACCGGGATTACCGTTCCTAAGGTCTCGCATGTTACTCAGTTCGAAGCTCAATGAAGTTCCGGTTTTGCTCATACCTCAGCATTCTTTCTTTTGTATTTCATATAATATTCTGCCATGAAAAAAGAATAGGCAGTACATAAAAGTTAAACATTATGATTTCAACTGCAGCTTCAACCTAGCTGGGTTCAATACCGATTTATGCTCCCCAGATCCAGACCGTTCCCATTGACGGGTGATTGTCGATGTCACCGTTCTGCGTTGGCCAATCCCTAAAGGGTACGTCATGCACTCCACTCCATTGGTAGCCCCATGAAGGCGATTTAATGTGTATATGGTATATATGATGACGTTCTGGAAACTACCGATGTACCCGGTTAGTATTTCCGTGTTCCCAGACAAGTCTGGCATGAATCTTCCGACCCAGAAGGGATGGGAAGCTTGATTAGACTAAAGCGCGGAAACGAACCAAATAGAAAATGTGCATTACCGCACATCTCTAACCAATAAGCTACTCGCACCCGCTTTGAAAAGTATACGTTAAAAAACGATGGAATCCAAACAGTATACAGAAAAGGAAAATCTGAAGTCGGAAGGCTATAAATAATACATTTAGCGGATTTTTTAACCGATTTAGTAAATCTCTTCTAAATTGTCGATGAAATCTCCAAAAATTGTTTAACATTAACAATATACCACTTCATATAAAGAAAAAAAAAGAACCAATAAATGAAAGCAAACAAAACTGAACCGAATGGGCGGACGAACCCGTTCGATTTCTTTAATTGATTAAATCAAATACGACACACTGAATGAATATCCAGGTGATGAGATGATGAATATCCAGGCATAG